TCTTAAAGATGTAGACGTTATCTTTCCCTCTATGCGTGGCATCAACATCAAACTGCCAAGGTCTGCCTAACAACATGTGACATGCATCCATCTCTACTACATCGCACATTGCCTCATCCACATAAGTTCGGCCAATGGAAAAGGATACCCGACACACTTCATCAACCTGTACGTCATTACCCTTGCGAATCCAGCCGATCTTGTAAGGAGCGGGATGCTTTTTCGTGTTCAGCCCTAACTTCTCCACCATGCGCCGAGATACAATATTCTCACTGCTTCCACTATTAATGATGACATCGCAGATCTTCTGTTGCACCGTACATCTCGTTCGAAAGATATTATGCCTCTGTGGTGGTTCTTCTGCCTTTGGAGCCAACAATAGTCGCCGCACAACACATGAGAGTTGTTCCCCATCATCAGCATCAAACACATCATCATAGTCTTCAACATCGTCTCGGTTTGTATCTTCATCTTCATGATCCACCATGTTCACAGTACCTCTTTTAGGGCACTGATTGGAACGATGACCAGGCTGTCCGCGTCTATAACACTTGATCGGGTCAGGTTTGGCATAAGGGTTCGCTGGAGTAGGCTTCTTCGCTGTAGTTGTCGCTGGCCTCTTGCCCTTCTCTGTCGTAGAATCTTGATCAGGAACAGTTTGAGACTGTTTATTCCCACCACGATTAAAGTTCGTGCGCCAACCATCAGAAGCTGCCCACGATCCTTTACTATTTCGTCCAAGCTGTCGCTCCACCTTCTTGGCTAGGCTAACCGTGTCTGCCAATGTATAGGTCTGCTGCAAAGATACACGATCCTGAATCGCTATCCTTAATTCCCCAATGTATCGAGACATCTGCTGCGCCTCGCTCTCGTGTAAATTGTTGCGGGATGACAGTCGATAGAACTCCTGCGTATACTCATCCACGGTTCTTCCGCCTTGCCTACAATTCTTATACTGCCCAAATAAAACTTGTTCATAATCACTTGGTAAGAAACGGGCTCTCAGTAGCTTCTTCATCTTTTCCCACCTATCGACCTTCGGCTTTCCTTGACGAGATCGATTCAGACAAACAGACTCCCACCAAGCCGAAGCTCCACCTTTGAGTCTGTAGGCCACCAATTTAACCTTACGTTCTTCAGGGATCTCCATATACTCAAAGAACCTCTCTACTTCTGCAATCCAGTCGAGGAACTCTTCAATATGAAGTTGCCCGTTGAAAGATGGCAGATCCATCTTCATCTTGAAACCTCCAGCGTCATAATTATCCCTTTGTCGTCGATCTCTACGATAAACACCGCGGCGTGGGGATGCATAGTGATCTTCCTCGCTGTCGGAATCTTCATACGGAGTCGGTTCACGTCGTTGGCGACCATCAACGCGATTTCGATCTCCTGCAATCTCCAGACGCTCTACTGCCACTGCTATTCGCTCCACGACAGTCTTCATCTGATTGACATCGGCCTTTAGCACGTCGAACTCAGTTCGAGAGATAGGGGCTTCATCACCTGCCATCGGATCGGAGGAACAAGGCTCTGATACCAATTGACGCAGCGCGGAAGTTGTAACCTCGGAATCCACCAAGGGTGTTCTCTGAATCCACAAAGAACGATCTTCGAATCCACGAAGAGCTTCGAATCCACGAAGAAGTATTGAGGAAAAATAAAATTTTATTAATCAAAAGTTATGCCTCTAGGGCTTACAAGACTCTTCTTAAATAGAAAAAGAAACAAGACTCCTACAATGACTCTAATTCCTACAAGGACTCTCAACTTACCAAAAATGGTAAAGAATTCCTAAAACATTAAAACTCCTAAAAAGACTCCTTATGAATAGGAAAGTCCACCGGTCAAATCTGAGATCAAATCGGATTTGTTTCCTAAACAAAACAGACTCCTAAATTATTACTAAAAATAGTAAAAACGGATAAAATTGTAATTATCTCTCAAACCGTAATGAATTTGGCGAATCTGAGAACACAAACCGAACCCATTAGGGTCGGTTTGGATGGCTCCGTCTCGTCGAGATAGTCGATTTTCATATATAATTCGTCCAATTCCGACGTACGGTTTGAAAGTTACGGCCGTTTCTTCGAAACATGTTATTTTCTTCGACCAGGCTCGCATTTGGGCTTGCGACTGTCCCACTTTGACATAAACATGTCTGCTGTGTGTTCTACATCAGTAAATTAAAAAAAAAACTAATAACTCCCAAAATGACTTCTTCACGCATCATGCGGTCCATCAAGCTTAAAGGGAGGAACCAACCCCTGTCAACCGCTTCTTCACTGGACGGAAAATGTGCTCTTCAGTTCCTCTGTAGCTTTTTTCGCGCGATTATCCATCCACGAATTTATGTAACAGAGAATAGATCCAATTAGAAGTTTCAATATTATTAAACACTCTATTATTCATACACACCAACAGAATGTAAGCAAAAGAATTTTTCAAAGGATTTTTCTCATTCTCTGTCAGCATGAAGTTTCCAATCGAGAGAGGGGGAAAAACATATCATTGAAGATTTTAGGCCAAGAGATAAGTCCTGGTAAAGGGCATGCTTCTTGTTTCCTTTAAGTATGACTATTTATTCAAACCAATGATCAGGTAGAAATCTTACCATGACGTTTTGCAGAAAGAACTAGGAAAAAGATTATTACTGTTGCGTTATAGGAAAAATTCACTTTGGTGACAGTAACTATAGCGACAATAGTAACAATAGCAAGCAAAGTAAACAAGTATCTTTTGAAAATATTACCAGGCTTACATGTAAATGGGAAGCTAGGGTCCCTCGTCGTTCCAAACTAAAGTTGAACTTATGCTCGGCATAGCTGTATTAGGAAGAAAGAAACACAGTTCGGGCATTTTGTTGAATTTCCTCCAGAATGCGGTTCAGTCTTGCAATTGGAGGAATTGGGCATCTTAGATCGAAGGACTTTATGATAGATACCATAAGCATAAGAAAGATGAACAAGTAATTGATGGAATGGAGATGGGTCTTAATGGGGGCGTCTGGAATAAGGAAGTGGTTTGTTTTATTTTGTAGATTAAACTGCACTTAAATACCGCAAAGTTTCCATTACGTAGAAGATAAATACAACGAGTTGTATTTTACAGCAAAAACATATACCACAAAGTTTATAAAATAGCACGCTACTATATTCTGTTAAGAGCAAGGGCAGCAAGCTCTGAAGACAGCGTACTCCCAAGGCCGATGTGGCCGTGGAAAACGGCAGCCCCCCCCCCTCTCCAGCGAAGCTCCAACCCCTCCAAGCCCCTCTCCTCTTAGGCCGACATGGCGGTGGAGAGCTTCGCGAGCTCCCAAGCGCTCCACAAATTTGTGGAGCACTTGGGAGCTCCCAATGGGCGAAATTTTACAAAAACCCCTCAAACATACCAAGATCGGCGATGATGGCCTTTCCGTTGAGTGCCTGCGCGTTCGCGAGATGATGCGTGTGCGGTCCGGGTTGGAGACTGATAGGTGGCGTCTTCGCTTCGAGATGATGGATGACTGGGGTGCCTGCCGACTGGCTCCGCATGCCGACGCCGGAATGATGCCGCCGTTCGGCGTTGGGTCGGGGATGATGGTGGCGAAGAGTTCGACGATTGGCCCCGCATGCGATGCCGGGCACGCCCATCGATGGAAGAGGATTTGGGGTTGGGGTTGAGTCTGTCGAAGGGGTGGGGTTGGGTCTGTCGCACGAAGAGGATTTGGGGTTGGGGTTGGGTTTGGACGAAGGGGTGGGGTTGGGATTTTGGGTCTGTCGATGGAGAAGATCTCTCTTTTGATTTTTTTTTTTTTTTTAATTCGTTGCGTTGTTTGAGGTGAAAATGTTTCTGTTGTGAGATGAAAATGTACCGTTGAAGAGAAAAGTTCAGTTGAAAATGTACCGTTGAAGAGAAAAGTTCAGTTGAACTTAAGCTCAGCAAAGCTGTATTAGGAAGAAAGAAACATAGTTCAGACATTTTGTTGAATTTCCTCCAGAATGCGGTTCAGTCTTGCAATTGGAGGAATTGGGCATCTTAGATCGAAGGACTTTATGATAAATACCATAAGCATAAGAAAGATGAACAAGAAATTGATGGAATAGAGATGGGTCTTAATGGGGGTGTCTGGAATAAGGAAGTGGTTTGTTTTATTCTGTAGATTAAACTGCACTTAAATACCTCAAAGTTTCCATTACGTAGAAGATAAATACAACGAGTTGTATTTTACAGCAAAAACATATACCACAAAGTTTTATAAAATAGCAAGCTACTACATTCTGTTAACATAACAGGGGGGATATACCAAAGAAAACCCCATGTGATTGTCACAAGAGATCTTTGCATAGAGTTTCACCCAATTCATCGCAATATTTACTGTTCTACCTACATTAATTGTCTCTTTCGTATTTTAACACTAAATCCCCAAATCCTCTGTTGTTCTACCGTAATTCGCTGCAAATTAAACCCGAACCTTGAGCGAGGGATTAACTGCTGCAATCTGAAATTAGGCCGTTCCCTTCTCCCCTAACACCGATTAAGGCGTAGTCCCTCTCCAAATTCCCCATCTCAAGTTGAAATTAGGAAAATCGTTCTCCAACTTCTCAAATTAAGGCAATGTTTAAAGACTTTTTAAAAGGTAACGTTTAAAAAAAATAAAATAAAGGAGATTGGCACCCTAAGCATTAAGAATTTTAAGAAGATTAATTAGACAAGAAAAACACCCTGTCATCATCAGATGCAGGTTAGGGTGCCGTTATCTACAAGAACATTCTCCATTAGTATTTGACGTCTTGTGACGAACCCCACGAATAAAGATGAAAATTATTAGGCAGTTGGCACCCTAAGCAACACCATAATCTCCAAAGTCTCACTTTATTTATTAATAAAAAAATGTTTCATCAAACAAAAAGCAAAGGGAATAAAAAATGAATAGATGATGGAGGTGCCTATTTGCCACCTTCCTTATATATATCCAACGGAAAGGAGTCAAGAGCACTGAGAAATTAATGATCTACATCGCACATTTAACAAAGCGATGAGGCTGCTTCTCTCTTCTTCATTGCCTCTCCTCTTGCTGGCCCTTGCTTCTTTGGGCCTCACCCAGGAGGCTGCGATTAAATATAGCAGAGATGACTTCCCCTCTGACTTTGTTTTTGGAGCAGGGACCTCAGCTTATCAGGTCAGTTTAAATTAATTTTCGGAGATAATACATGTGTTAGTTATGCATCAATCTCATTTAACTACATATCTTGTGTTAATCACTTAGTATGAGGGAGCAGTAGCAGAGGATGGCAGGAGTCCAAGTACCTGGGATACTTTCACGCATGCAGGTACTGCCAACGCATTTTTGTAATTAAATATATTTGAACCAGGTTTCTTTTGATAACTAAATTAGAATTCTCTTGATTGTTTGAACATTATCCTTGCTACCTATATCACAATCATCGTGTGCTAACTTTCTGACTTCTTCTTTTCTCCTTCTTTTTGTCAAAGTTTTAACAGTTTGATTAATTTGATAGGGAACATGCCAAACAAAAGCACAGGTGATGTGGCTTCTGATGGCTACCACAAATATAAGGTATGCTTTTTGTTGGATTTAATCTAATAAATCTATTTGTGGGCACATATGATTAATCAATGTGTATTGCTATCTTTCAGGATAACCCACTAAAGTGATCAATTAAGTTGGGTTAATAGGTATTTAAATATAATCATGGGGTTATATGTGCAGATATCAGGTTGTAATTGTGATTTATTGAGGGGCTAAATTACAAAAGTACAACATCTATAAATAAGGGGTTATGGTCCCTAACCTAGGGTTAGATTCTCTAATTCTCTACACCCCCATCTAGCTAGAGAAATTCGGATTTAGAGAAACCCTAAGGTTAGAAGATCCAAAACCCATCTCAAGGTTCATCCATGGATTCAGGTATAAACTTCCGCTCTTTTGATTATTGTTAATCTCTTTGAATTAATCATGGCTATATGGTTTTAGATCTTAAGTTTTGGTTTAGATCCAACAAGTGGTATCAGAGCCACCTTGATTAATTCTTAGGGATTTAAGTTTTATTGGGTTTTTTGATCTTAAATCTCTGGTTAAAGATTCAGTTTTGTTTTTCGGATGAACAGTAAATTTTTTTGTTCGGATGAACAGTAACGAAAAGTTTTTCGGGTGAACAGTAACTGAAAAAATCGTCGGTGAACAGTAACTTTTTGGAATTTTTTTTGCCGGTTTTTTTCTTGGATCTGGATCAAGAAAACTCATTTTTCGATTCTAGATCTGTTTTTTGTTTTAATGGCGGCGGTTTCAGTTTGAAACCCTAAGGGTTCGTGCGTGAAACGTGGTGAACATTAAGGAGGTAGTTACCTCAAATTTTGGCGAAGCTGAAAGCTTCAAACGAACCTCGCGTTCGTTCAATTTTAACTGAACTTCGCGTTCAAACGAACTTCGCGTTCGTTATCAAGTGAGCCTCGCGCTCAACGAACTTCGCGTTCGTTCTAAGGTGAGCCTCGCGCTCAATTCAGGTGAGCGTTAAGCTCAATTTAAACGAACTTCGCGTTCGTTCTCATGTGAGCCTCGCGCTCAACTCAGGTGAGCGTCAAGCTCAATTTTAACAAACCTCGCGTTCGTGCTTCAGACGAACCTCGCGCTCGTGCTTCAGTCGAACCTCGCGTTCGTGCTTCAGACGAACCTCGCGTTCGTGCTTCCGTCGAACCTCGCGTTCATGCTTCCGTCGAACCTCGCGTTCGTGCTTCAGTCGAACCTCGCGTTCGTGATTCAGTCGAACCTCGCATTCATTTATTTTAACGAACCTCGCGTTCGTTCTCAAGTTGAACCTCGCATTCATTTTTCAAACGAACCTCACGTTCGTTCTCAGACGAACCTCGCGTTCGTGCTTAAGTGAGTCTCGTACTCAATACAGTCGAACCTCGCGTTCGAAGTTAAGCGAACTTCGTGTTCACTATGGTTAAGCCTCAGTTTTTCATGGGTCCATTTTGGTATACTTAATTTATTCAATTAAGTTATGGGCCCTAATTAAGCTGTAAGACCCCAATTAAGTTTTGGAAATTCAGTTGATTTAAATTAAAACCTTTTAATTTAAATCTAATTTGATTTTTTAATCAATTATTTAATTCAAATATTATGACACTAAGGAATTAAGGTTGTCTCTTACTCCAATTGATTAATTGAAACAAGAAGTTGCCAAAGTAACATCTCTTGTGTAGATTGTTCATGAGGAATGTGAGATGTTTGTGTGTATGCTTTCGTGTAAATATTTAATCGGCCCAAAGGAAGGTTAATATTTATTTAGACTGTATACACATCTGCGATGATAAGCGTGTGACAATTATAAGGTTTACATGTGAATAATGAATCGATCCAAAGATAGTTTCATTATTTGACATGAGTTATTGTCAATGTTTGATCATTGCAACAAGGTATCACTTACAAGTTAATATTACTGTCCAAAGACTTGATATTAATGTTGTGCCCGATATCTTGGATGGGGATTGTCATTATTTGAATTTTATTGATTATGGTTATTGATATGAGCATATTTGTTTTATTTCAGCTAATGCATCTGCTGCAACAATTTCTGCTAACATCAACGCAATTCCCATGTTAAATGGGACAAACTTTAAGATTTGGAAAGAGAACATATTAATTGTTCTTGGCTGCATGGATCTTGACTATGCATTAAGAACTGAACAACCCCTACCTCTCAATGCGGAAAGCACTCCTGATGCAAAGAAGGAGCATGAGAAGTGGGAGCGTTCAAATCGCATGAGTCTTATGATCATTAAGCGCGGCGTTCCGGAAGCCTTCAGGGGCATAGAATCCGAAGGGATTACTAAGGCTAAAGATTTCCTTGCCGAAATTGAGAAGCGTTTTGCTAAAAACGATAAGGTAGAAACAAGCATGCTTTTAGCTCGTTTGATTTCAATGAAGTATAAGGGCAAAGGAAATATCAGGGAGTACATTATGGAAATATCTCATATTGCTTCAAAGCTTAAGGCACTTAAACTCGATCTTTGTGATGAGTTATTAGTGCATCTGGTTCTGTTGTCTCTTCCTGCACAGTTTAATCAATTTAAGGTCAGTTATAACTGTCAAAAGGAGAAATGGACTCTAAATGAGCTCATTTCATACTGTGTGCAAGAAGAAGACAGGTTGAAGCAAGATAAGACAGAAAGTGCTCATTTGGCCTATGCCTCTAAGGATAAGGGCAAGAAAAGGAAGAATGATAAGGAAGCTGCTAAGGGTCCAGTTGAGAAGAAAAAACATAAGGATAATCAGGGTTGTTTCTTCTGTAAGAAGCCTGGACATATAAAGAAGGACTGTACAAAATATCACGCCTGGCGTGATAATACGGGTACGTTCCTTGCTTTGGTCTATTCTGAGGTTAATTTAGCTTCAGTACCTAGAAACACTTGGTGGTTAGACTCTGGTGCTACTACTCACATAAGTGTTTCTATGCAGGGTTGCCTGAGCTACCGAAAGCCAAGTGATGTTGAAAGACACATCTTTGTGGGCGACGGACAATCGGTAGATGTGGAAGCAATTGGGCACTTTAGGTTGTTGTTAGGAACTGGTTATTATTTGGATTTAAAAGATACTTTTGTAGTACCGTCTTTTAGACGGAATTTGGTTTCTGTTTCTGTATTGGACAAATCAGGTTATTCTTGTTCATTTGGAAACAGTCAATTCAGTTTATCTTTTAATTCAAATGTTGTGGGAACCGGTTACTTGAGTATTTATGACAACCTATATTTGCTTGATACAATTGCTTCTTATAATGAATCCTTGTATGTGGAATCACGTGGTACTAAGCGTAAATTAAATAAGGAAAATTCGGCGACATTATGGCATAAACGCTTGGGTCATATCTCAAAAGGTAGAGTTGAGCGTCTTGTGTCTGATGGCATTTTGGATTCCCTTGATTTTTCGGACTTCGACGTATGTGTTGAATGTATCAAGGGAAAACAGACCAAAGTGAAAAGATTAGGTGCCAACAGATCTTCGGATGTCTTAGAATTGATACATACGGATATTTGTGGGCCATTCCCTACGGAATCCTGGAATGGTCAACAATATTTTATATCATTCATAGACGATTACTCACGTTATGGGCACCTATATCTTATTCATGAAAAATCTGAGTCTCTGGACATGTTCAAAGCCTATAAAGCTGAAGTTGAGAATCAACTCAACAGAAGAATTAAAACCGTCAGATCTGATCGTGGTGGTGAGTACTACGGTAGATATGATGGTTCAGGTGAACAACGTCCAGGACCATTTGCTAGATACCTAGAGGAATACGGTATCGTCCCACAGTACACCATGCCGGGTTCACCTAGCATGAATGGTGAAGACGAAACAGGACTCTTAAGGATATGGTAAGAAGTATGATTGCTCATTCTTCTTTACCAGAGTCTCTCTGGGGAGAAGCACTTAAGACAGCAGCTTACATTCTGAATAGAGTACCAAGTAAAGCAGTTGCTAAAACACCTTATGAGGTTTGGACTGCTCGAAAGCCCAGTTTAAAGCATTTACATATTTGGGGATGTCCAGCTGAGGCAAGGCCTTATAGGCCAAATGAAAAGAAATTGGACTCCAAAACAGTTAGCAGCTACTTTATTGGATACTCTGAACGCTCTAGGGGCTATAAGTTTTATGATCCCACTATAAGGAATATTTTTGAGACGGGAACAGCAACATTCTTTGAGGATGTTGAGTTTGGGGGGAGAAATAAGGTTAGAGACATTAGTTTTGAGGAGGAATTGGCTTCAGATCCAATCCATACAGTTACTTTTGACAATATTCAGGTTCCTATACCTGTTGTTGCTCAAGAAGTAAATCCGGAACCTCAAGATGATAATGTTGAACAACTCCCTGTTCCAGAAGAACAAACTCAACAACCTCAAGAACCAGTGCCATTAAGGAGATCCACGAGAGAAAGGAGAAATGCTATTCCGGATGATTATATTGTATTTCTCCAAGAACATGAGGAAAATAGTGGAATGTTGGAAGATGATCCAATCAACTTCTCTCAGGCCATGAAAAGTTCTAACTCTCAACAGTGGATTGATGCAATAAATGAAGAGTACAAGTCTATGCAAGACAATAAGGTTTGGGAACTTGTCCCATTGCCAGAAGGTGCAAAACTAATTGGTTGTAAATGGATTTTTAAAACCAATTTGGATGCAAATGGTAATGTGGAGAGGTATAAGGCACGTCTTGTGGCTAAAGGCTATACTCAAAAGGAATGCATTGATTATACAGAAACTTTCTCTCCGGTTTCATCGAAAGACTCTTTCAGAATAATCATGGCACTTGTTGCTCATTATGACCTTGAGTTACATCAGATGGATGTTAAGACTGCATTTCTCAATGGAGACATTGATGAGATGATCTATATGGTGCAACCAGAAAACTTTGTGTCGGGAGACCCAAAGAATATGGTCTGCAAATTAAGGAAATCCATCTATGGACTCAAGCAAGCTCCTCGTCAATGGTATCATAAGTTTCAACAAATAGTTATCTCGTTCGGTTTTGAGATGAACATTGTTGATGAC